ACTCTTCAGCAGTATGCATCCATTGCCGTGGTTCGAACCCGGGATTTTCTGGTTAGAAGGCAAGCTTATGGACCATTAAGCCGCTGAGACCCAATCCAGTGGTCCATGAATTCTTACCTCTCCCAATTCACCATATGGCGCGACCAGTAGCGAATGTCGTTGGCGATATGGCACCATATCGTGAACTGAAAGAAGTTGGAATTCATGAACTATTGGATCGGGTCCCAGTGCCTTAATGGTCCACAAGCTCTCCTTCTAATCAGAAAGCCCTGTGTTCGAACAATACTGGGTGCGTAGTGCTGAAGAGTCTCAAACCAGGACGAAGCGGCTGTGCTTGCGAACTAACACCTGACTAGTGTAATTTTATTTGCCACCACCAAATGCGCTCATATGCGTGCAACTAATATCAGTTTAATACTAATCAAGTACAAATCAACCAGAGAAATCAAATAATTAAGCACAAAGTCAGTGATACGCTTCACGTCTATTTTAAGAACATTCCAGGAAACTATGTAACAGCGACTGAATATGCCTGCATTACCATATCCAAATGAACACGGTTTTCATAGATTAGTTCTAGAAATTGCGTATACTGACAAATATATAGTCATATATATGACTATAGTGGAGTAATAAACAGAACATATTCTGACAATGTTCGATAATTCACCAGGAGGATTTCTATCGCAGGTGAATGTTTCTGATTGTTGAAGTGTTCCCTTAACTGACTAGATTAATTGCAAAGCTTCTATTATCTTTATACATCACAAATGCTCACTTCCAACATTCATGGAACTTCACTTTAAGGCGATCACTGAAGGTGGGCGTCGGTGGGACAGCGGCAGAGTGTTCGCCGACCACGCAGGTGGTTCGGGGTTCGATCCCCGGCCACAGACCCGCTACTTTACCTCATTAAATCAGTAATAAGGCTGATAAAAAAAGAGGGAAGGTTGGGCATGGGACTAGCAACCCCATTCCGTAAAAGTAAAACACCACTGCTACCGAAACTTCAAGCCTCTAGCCTATATTCCAGCACTGTGAACATAAAGGAATAAAAAAAATGGTGTTATCTAGAGGGACAAAATGAAAGCTTTACAACTAAATCCTCCAACTTACAGAACACAATATCAAGTATTCACATGACTGTTAAACATCAGTTAGAATGAAATATATATATATATATGTGTGTTTTGAATTTCATTGTTTCAGTAGTGATGAAAAAGAAATAGTCTATTTCAGAATTGAAATCTTCTGTAAAATATTACTGTTTTTTAAATCATGGAAAATTCCCACTATAACATAGAAAATCAAAACAAATGATTCAGCGAAGAGACTCTTTTCAACGAACTTATCATCAAGCTGTACAATGGTATATATATATATATATATATATATATATGGTTTTTAAGAAGTTATATCCGGTGAGGGAATTGAATCATAGGTGTGAATGCATAAAATAATAATAATATGAAATGCAATTAAAACTAAAATGTTTGTGATTATAATCGTAGTTAAATGTCAAGTGGCAAAGCAAATTAATGTAATACATAGAATAATTCATAGGATGGATAGAACTTGAAAAAGGTGTGCAATTATAAGATTAGTAGACAAATCGAATAAAATAAAACGTTACGTAATATTGTGTGAAATTTATTAGCATAGAATTTAATGTTGCATAAAGGAATTGATTTAGAATGACAAGTGGAACAAGTTAAATAATACCGGGGACAGTTCAAAGTGAGAGTAGTAATAGTAGTAACAATTGACGTAATAAGGAAGAGTATACAAATTGAATAGAAAAAATGAAAAATTGGTAGAGCCAAAATATGATTAGGGATTACCATACTTTAGCATAGAGGGATTAAGACCATGAAAGTTGGAGGGGTTGAACGAACTTTTTCTGTACACAGAGATCTGGCTTTTCTGTTTCGATAGCCAAAGCTTCAGCAATACAGATGAGTCGGGTACGTAGGGATTTGGGTAAATTACTCTTTGCCTTGTAGATGACTTTGAAGGCGGAGGCTATAGAGATAGAGTGATCATTATCGACCAGATGTTCAATGATCGCGCTTCTTATCGCTCCACTTCCACCTTTTCGTAACTATGCAGGATAGTGTTCTTGCACCCTCTTGGACAAAACTCGAGTCGAACGACCGATATACCTAGCCCCACACTAGCAGGTGAATTGATAAACACACATAGAGTTGGTCAACAGCGGGATCTTGTCCTTCAGGTTATTGAACAGTAATGGTCGACTAGTAAAGGCTATTCTCAGAGATGCAGCAGGGAATGTTCTTTTTCAGGGACTGTGATATCCTTCATTTCATGATATTGGAAGCTAAGTCCCCTTTGAATTTCAAGCTCATGTAAAGTATCTTCTTGGCTACGGTTGATATGTCACGTTTTTTAGGATTTGAATGTATATTCTTATCGATTTGTCTACTAATCTTATAACTTCAAACCCTTTTTCAAGTTCTATGCATCCTATGAATTATTCTATTTATTTATTTCATTTTGATTACAGCTTGATGCCACACCGTATTTTCAGTACAAGTATGGAATTTTCAGCATGGATATCGGTAGCCCAAATTTTGCAGGCCGACCATAGATATCGGGTGTGCGTCGGCAGGGGATCGAACCTCGGACTATGTGCATGGTCGGCGAGAGTCTTAACCACTGTACCACCGACGCACTATGTATGACATTAACTTGCTTTGCCACTTGAAATATTACTGTCTAGTCTTTTTTTTATCTAGATTAAATGATAGTCGTCACTTTTAGGTGTGACGATGAGTTAGCATCAACTGTGGAGGTATAATGACGTCTTATCAAGTAATAAGCACGTCTTTTTGTTGGTCATATATATATTTCACTGAATTTCACAATAGTTGGTTGTTTTTCTCATCTAGACAGTGGGAGAGAATCTGATATGAGATAGGCTATTAGTGGTGTATAAGTTAAATGAAATTCTCTGCTAGACAGGGTGTTAACCTGACTGTTTCCTAACATTAATCTTCATTTTTTTTAAAAATTAATAACCCTTATTCCTGACTGATAACTGTTCTCAGAACTTCACTCACTATTCAATGGTGAGTATTTTAGCAACCAAATAGGTGGCTCCATCAACGCTGGTTAATTAGAAACTATTTTCATAGCTCGATAGATGTCAAAGAATCAGCATTAGCATTTGTAGCTGCAAATCCTCATGGATAGGTCACAGCTTCGTGTCACGTTGAACCAATTTCAGCCTTGACAAATGGTTAAGTGTGATAAGTGACGGGGTGGCCGAGCAGTTACGGCGATGGACTGCTAATCCAATAGGGTTCCCTCGCATGGGTTCAAATCCCATCCCTTTCGGTTAGACTTTGTGCGTCAGTGGCACAGCGGTTGGGACTGTCGCCGACCATGCACATGGTCCGAGGTTCGATCCCCTGCCGATGCACAGCTTATATCAATGGTTTGCCTGAAAATTCCATACTTGTACCAAAATACGGTGTGGAATCAAGCTATAATAAGTGTGGCTCTTAGCCTGTTACATAAATGCTCCTTTCCGGACAGTAGAGTGCTTAATTTCTTCTATCAAAATATTTCACTTTTGTTAGATGGTTGAAAGCAACCTGTACGAAGCCTTGAAATAAAGTTTCGTAGTTCTTGGCACTCATCAGCCGGGTGTATCTTCAGTCTGAGATTCGAACCTGAGTCATCTAACGATGCAGTCAGAGAGTTAACCATTGATGTGCTTGTGTTTGTGATTGACTTCCTGTATGATTTGACTTATAGAATTAAGTCTGCACCAACCAAAGGACTAGACAGTTGACATAAGATACTACAGAGTGTCAAATTAAAATAGGCAGAAAAGTCTCACAAGTAGACATTCGCGGACCCGAAATGTTCACTAGTAACATCTGCGACTGCAGCACTGACTGCCCAGGATTTGAATTTCAGAAGGGACATGAATTCCTTTAAGACCCCAGATACGTCTTGCTGACGAGTGCCAGCGAGCATGAAACCTAGGTTGAAGCCCTTCTACCGATTGCTTCCAACTATCCAACACTACTCCTTACGGTTCTCAGTTTAAAAACTTTGTCTTTTTTGTAAACTGTAGCTTTTTGTTACTCTAACAGCCACTAGGGATGAAAATTTAATATACTGAAATAATCAGTCCTATTTTCTGAAGTGTGACAAATTTTAAAACCGTTTTAATAAAATTTTGATTTCTTTGAAAACAGGTCTTGAATGCACCAATATTTGGTTATAATCATTATTTTATTCATTAACTTTTCTAGTTGTGCGTAGGTGGCACAGTGGTAGAACGCTCTACAACCACGCAGGTGTTTCGAGGTTCGATCCCCTGCCACAGATGCATTCCTTTCCTCTCTAAGCCGGTTATAAGACTGATAAAGAGGGAAGGTGGGGTATGAGGTTAGCAACCCTAACTCGTAAAAATAAACACTACTGCTACCGAAACTTCAAGTCTCTAGCTTGAAGCCCTATGTGCCAACACTGGGAACGTATAGGAATAAAAAGGAAGTTTCTAGTGGTGCGTAGGGCTCCAAACTAAAGCGCTATGAAGTACCAGTAACCTTTCCACTTAACCAGTCTTATTACCAGCTAGGGAAGGTTTATGAATAATTCCGCCGGAGATCAGACTTCAGATCAAGTGAGACGTTGTTGGCGAGCATTCTACCTGTGGTTCACCGACGCAACGGAATTTAATGGCTTCTGTTAGTTGATAAAAAAGTCTGAGTACTCAGTTATGTGTCATGTAACAGTTTCCTGTAGATAAAACTTATGACAATCACTGATACAAGGCGGTTGCCTTTATTCGTAAATTGGATCAAGTCATCAACCATGACACGTAGGAGTGGGAACGTGCCTCTTTTCCTTTTTATGGCCTTAAAATCTATCAGAGAGAATACACTTCAATTCGACTGGAATATATACTGTCCAGTAATAAGCAATTTGAAATTTCTAAAAAAAGGAATGTGAAATCGACTTACTTCTCTAGCCGCTTGAACAGCCACATATTCATTGAATATTTTGAAGGCTTTCCGTTGCATATTCTTTGAACCAGATTTATTACGATAATCTTCACAAATAAGCCAAAAACGAATATTTTCATCACTGAATTCAGTACGGAGAAATTCTCTGAATACCATGACACCATCTTGACAAGAAAAAAATATGACAGTAATTGGTTATTCAATTGGTAGTAATCACAATAAAATGTCCTAAGTATTTGCGAATTTCGCCACTCAAACTGTTTATATTGGAAATTTTGAATTTCGGATACTCGGTGTTGACCGCATTTCGTTTCAAGTTTGATCACGGAGTGATATCACTTACAGAACCACTAAAAACAGATATTACTCATCGGTTGTTTCGTCTTCATTTGGAACTCATCTGTAATATGCATCCATTACCCCACTGAGTATTGAACCCGGGGTTTTAAGGTTACAAGGCGAGCTCATTACACATCCAACCACTGGCCCATGAATTTCAACTTTTCAGGTATTGGTTTTTGCAGAGGTTATTGTTTGAATGATTGGAGGATTTCATCAAGTGCCGACTTCAGTTAGAGAACCATTGGAAAACCTGCAGGGAGTACTAGACAGCTGTTCTGTCCTAGTGCTTGGAAATCTTCATCAGTACGCACCCACCTCTGGGGTTTGAACCCAAGGTCTTCTGGTTACAAGGCGAGCCAGCTTGTAGACCACTAAGCCACTGAGACCCAATCCATTGACCAGTCTATGAATTTCAACTTCTGCCAGTTCATAACATATAACGACCACTTCACAACGTCTTCTTCAATGAGTTACTACCTAGCCTGCAACCTGCCGTATCCTACTGGTCACGGCTTCCCACTATAACCCCAGGTTAACTGCCTGAATAGGGTCGATCACTAGTCAATTTTCGGTGGTAATTTCGATAAATGCTCCTCTATTTACTTTCGCTTGCATCAATTTTTGACATTCATAAATTTCAGCAAACTTTACAAATTCAAAAGTGAATTACTGTTTACTTTATCACACCACAGATCATGATCAGAAGAAACAATGAAAGAAAGGATTAAAGAGAATTCGTATAGATAAAGTAACCTTCTGGCCAGTTATATAATGTCACACCATATAATAAAGACAATTGATTCAAGAAACAAAGCATTACGATTAAAATGACAATATGCTGTAAATGCATTATACTAGCAACCTATTTCATTGATAATCTTTAGTCAACCTTTACAGTCGCAATTTAACACTTTGAGGAAAGGTACATTCCACTATGTGGATCGCATCACCGCTACTAGAGATTCAGTAGAGCCAGTGCACCAAAGATATCGTTAGAGAACGAGGCCTACCAATACTATAACGCCACTATGAACACTATTCACGGACTCTGGCACAAATTTCGTCAGGAACTAGTTTTTAAGGACAATTTAGATAATGGGTTCTTACCATGTAGTCGTAAGTGTTTTTGTGGTGCTTCTGTGTACGTACAGCAGTCTTCAGAAACAACTGATGGACATGTATTGAGGTGTACACAATATAGGAAATGAATTAGTGTTCAAAATGGTAAGCTACGCACTTAGCTCATTCTTTTCTAGGAATTTTCTTTGATAAATCGAAGCTGTCGTTGACAAATATTCTTGTTATATGTCATTAAACACTGGGCTGAGATCAACGTCTCTAAAAATGGAGAATTCGTTACTATACAGTGTGCAATGGTAATGTGTAAAGATATAACATCATGGAAGGTGAATACCATCACGCGGCTGCTGGGCAAATGATATTTAGGTTTTGGGAATTTACGACAAATTTGTCCATGAAGGAATTGTGGAGGCAGTTCCAAATCGTAGTGCTAATACTCTTTTACTCACTATACAAAGGTTATTCATTCCTGGCATTACCATTCATATAGACAAATGGGCGGAATTCAATTAGCTATCCGATTCGGGTTTTATTCATCGTAAAGTGAATCACTGCGATGATTTTGTTGACCCCCTTACTACAACCCATACTTATTCGATAGAGGGCCTCTAGGGGAAGACTTAAAAACAGGATTAGAGCGATTAACGGATCACAACAGGAACTCATCTTCAGTCACTCCAATGAATTCATGTTTAGAAACTGCTTTGACTTGAAAACCTATGCTCCTCACAGCAACTGGGGGAAAGTTCTAGTTTGTGTCAGGGGAAAATATCCTGTTGAATGAGTTTTATCATTATTCTGTATATTTCTCTTGTAAATAAGCGTTATTTTTGTGTAAAAACCACTGGTTTTCCTGATTAGTCACCTCAACATCACTCGTGCTTTCGTAGCCCAAGGATTACTATTGTTGAACTTTGCCTGTTATCCTGTTTCCTATGAAGTGAAGAAGAGAGCAAGGAAGCAAACAAGCAGGCGTAGCACATATTTTCTTCAAATCATCCGATGAAAATGAATTATTTACTTAGTGTCACTGGGTCTACATTTTGTAATCTCTATAATAATCAGACATTGGTTTCCTCAACTGCAATCGCTTCCATACAACTGTTAAATAAAACTGACACTTGATAAGTTATGCAGTGTCTCGTCTCCATCAAATGTGGCCCTGTCAAATGAAAGCAGACATACTCATTTGCAATATAGAAGATACCTCGTCGAACATAACTTAGCAGAACAGATGCAACTTTCTATGAAGATGGGAAAATAATCTGGAACGCACTCTTCGTTTTTCTCTATGATAACAAATATAATTCATTCTATAAAGCCTACAAATTACTGTATAAATGTAACGCTTAAAAGATCCGGTTACAGAAAGATGACATGAAACGGAAAACTGACTAAATCTCGTAGTTGTGTGCCTCTAAATACAAAACGAAACCTGATCCGTTAACTGAGCCACATAATCCTCAGAATTTACAGCTCTCACACTATGGAAGAGGAACCAAACACTCTGAAAAGAATCCTCCTCGAAAATCGCTACCCAGAACGCTTCATCATGAATTCAATGAAACCTAAACCGCTTAATTAGCTCACACTTTCTGCTCCCGAAAAACTTCTTTATTTGAATCAAAAATTCACTGGAGACTTAACGATAGAAATACTGATAAACTGCCAGTCCAGTTCCCTGAAGAAAACCTTATCCGTGGCCGAACGTTAAATAACTTTCTCGACAAAACAAACCATTCAGTTCACCTAAATCTATGGAGCTAAGTATGTCGGCTGTACTCGGCGTTTACTATCCAAACGTATGACTGAGTACTTACCCTGATGGCTTTGTAAAGGAGAAAACAGATCCCCCGCCACAGCTCTATTCTTGAACACATGATTGAACCTGGACATCAGGCTAACCCACAAAGGAATTTCACTTAAATCTATACAATACGTGGGATCGCGCTAAACGAGTATGAATCCAACCTCCTCAAACTGCAGAAGCAGAATTCTCCTTGTAAAATAAGTTTGTTCAGTCATTAAGCCTACAATGGACCTGATCTATCTTAATAACAAATAGGTGATTTTTGGTTTTGTTTCTTAACTGTATTATTTTCTCTCAAATCCCCTTTTAAATCTCTACCCCTTATTACCACTGTTATTAACTTGACTGTTGTCCAATTTTTGTTGAGGTCTACTCAACCCCATCAATTACATTACGTCATTCAAAATGTTTTTTTTTAATTTTATTTTAGTTTCAACCCGATTAACTCTTTCTACATTACAGTTATAATGACACAACCTTTACCTACCTGGAAAGCATCGTTTCAACTACAGGCGGACAGAACTGACGAAGATATCAAAGCGAGGATTAGTAAAGCAAGGCAACCTTTCATTTCTCTCAAGTCTGTGTAGAGATAAACAGCACTCAGCATGAAAAATAACATCCGGATTTTCAACTTCAGTGTGAAGTCAGTGCTACTTTATGGATCAGAGACTTGTTGCCACACCACGTCACGAAGAGCACCTCAAACAAACTACACACATTCATCAACAGCTCTCTTCGCTCAATACCACTCAAAATCAGATGGCCGATCGGAAAACATCAGTAACAGGGAAGGATCTCTGGCTATCAGCGAACCAACCCATCAGAAACCGATTGTGCAACAAATATGCAGGAGGAAATGTAGGTGGATTCACCATACTCTGAGAAGACAAACCATCAAATGAGTGACATCACACTCCAGGTCACCTCTCGAGTGGAACCTAAATGGGAAGTGGCGAGTTAGTTGGTCGTCAGTTCGAGGGTTGGGTGACACGGTACAGGTGGTGTGACGAGGAGATGAAAGCATGTGTGCAGACATGGTGTCAGGTAAAAACGTTGGCGGAGAACCGAACGGAATGGAGACGTATGGCTGAAGCTCCATGTTCCTCTAGGAACTAAAGGAAACAATAACAATAATAATGACACATCCTTAGAAATATTCGTCTTGTTGATGAGACAATAGCTGAAAAGAATGACTCTTCTCTGAACGCCTTTGTCTTTTATTATATAAATCTCCAAATAACAAGGTAACAATGTTTCCATAAAATAATAATATGAGTGTGGACGTGATATTACAACTTTGAGTGACACGTAGGAACATTTGTTCCAATTTCCACCCACTGGTTCCTTGTTTGTGCACTGGATGAAACCAGTTGGAATAGACAATTTCTAGGTGATATTTGTTACATCCTAACAATTCTGATAATATCCTTTTAAATTTGTTATTGGAAATACGTGTGTAATTAAATTAGACAGTCATTAGACGCTGTATCTTTCTGTAAACTGTTCCACCCACATATTTACTGTTGTACATCTTGCCTAACTATCCCTGGATAAATTAAAGGTAAGTAAAAAAATATGTAGCGATATAGTTTCTAAATTCAAGCGTTAGTTAAATTGAGTCACAAGTAATAAATTTACCAGTCAAGTCTAAGATAAATAACGTTATTCTGATCTTTATCAGAATAATTTGTATGAGTTAATCAACCAGCTTCAGTGGATAACTTGCAGTCACGACGGTTACAGTTAAAATACAAGAAAATGTCGACTTTTTACTTTTGTAAAACTATCCTGACTAGTAACTAGAATAATTGAGAAGAAATTCTGAAGTTTGTGGGAATAATGTGTTCGTGAAAGTTAGAATTCATGGGCCATTGAATGGGGTCACAATGGATGAATGGTCTGCGAGCTTGCCTTGTTACTAAAAGGTTCCCGGTTCTAACCTCGGTGGATGAGTACTGATGATAAGTACCAGACTAGGTAGAAAGAGCTGTATTAGGTGGTTGGAGGCAATCGGTAGGACTGTACTGGGTATTTTTGATTGGACACTAGTCAGTAACTAGTATAATGTGTGTGTATGTGTAGCCCTGTCTTTGATACAGACTGAATTCTATTAGTTAAGTTTGCATTGTGGCCACCATTCTAGGTGACTCGCCCCCACGGTGCATTTTGAATTGTCAATATTAAACGGTTATATAGGCCAGTGGTAACGTCTCTGACTGTAGCACTTACCGGGTGACACGGGTTCAAATATCAGAAGGGATACGAGTTCCTTCAGGGTTGCGGATACGCCTTGCTGACTGCTGAGTGCCAACTAGCACGAAACCTAGGTTGAAGGCTTCCTGCCGATTGCCTCCAACCATCTAATAGCAACAATTCGCAATGCACGATGATGGTGAGCCACCTTGAATGGTGACCACATTGCAAACTTGACTGACAACAGAATTCAGCCAGCACCAAATAGAGGAATAGACACATTACATTAGTTACTGACTAGTGTTCAATCAAAAAAAGAGAAACGCCGTCTAGAACACCGTGTTTTCTGCTAGTTGCCTAAATGACATCAATCCTTTGTTGAAATTGAAATAATGTATGCATTTGTGTTTATGTATAATTAATAGTATTAAATGATTAGAAGAAATCAGAAGAAAGTTATAAACTTAGGTTTCTTGTTTATTGGCTCTCGTTAGCAAGGCGTAACTACAACCTCATTGCTGAATGCGCTGATTGCTTCAAATCATCTAATGGCACTCCGATGGGGGCGTTTCCTTGGTTAGCAGACGAAAACGCGAACTTGACTGATAAAAATTCAATGGGGACCTGTGACAACTGGACACATGAGAGTGATCACACTCACAGTGGTTTATCTGTGTGAATAAACAGCTCTGCTAATATTATAAGGCGGTGTTGCTTTTAGCATTTTCTATAAAGACCGGATAATAAATGCATTGAATATCACTGAATACTACAGTTCACTTGTATATTTTTTTCAATCTTCTGCTTTCCGAGTGGAAGAAAGGGTTCCAGGCTTGAACTCTGAAGTTGTAGCAGCTGTAGTATTATTTTTATGGGGTAAGGTTGCAAGTCCCACGCCTAACCTTCCCTCTTTACAAGACTTACTACTAGACAAGCTGTTTAGGAGTATATCGCCCAGGAATTAAACCTCGGATCTCAGAGTGTCTTGAGGGCACTCTACCCCTAGACTAGCCATGCTAACTCTGGATGGAGGTAAATCTATTTGACAGGTCCCAAATAAGTCTCTACGATCCTACTGCTTATCACTGTTATTTTTTTGGTTTCGAGTGAAATACAGGGTCCACCGAGGGAGAGGGCTCTCGAGTGGATGCACCACAGGATGATCCTGCATGCCGGCCTCATCTTGCAAGAGACAGGGGTGGGTGTATTTGGTCCTCCTGAAAACCAATACCCACTGTGTGAATGCGTCGGTGGCATAGCGGTTAAGACACTCGCCAACCATGCACATCCTCCGGGGTTCGATTCCCGGCTGACGCAGTCCTTTACCTCGCGAAGCCAGAAATAAAGCTGGTAAAGAGGGGAAGGTTGGGCATGAGGCTAGCAACCCTATCTTGTAAAAGTAAACGCTGCTATAGAAACTATAAGTGTCTAACTTTAAGCCTTATGTTACACTGGGAACGTGAAGGAATAAAAAAAACAGGGCTTCAACATGAGATCTTCATTTCATCATGTTTTTCACAGTTGTTCCAAGGTGGTTCCCAGATTTTCCATGAGCCGTCATCTCCTGATAATTAAAACTAATCACATTACACCATGTTAACCTTAGAACATCATTGATTTTCCGTACCAGGAGAGATTGAGTCGACATGGAATGAGCATTCTAGCCCAATAAACCAACCAACTAACTAACGGAAAATGAAGATAATAATTTCAACAAATAGTATATTGTAATTTGTCAATTAAAACTTTGATTAGTAAGCTTACGTTTATCTCTGAGTACAGCTTCAAATGAACGTGCCCATTCTTCAACTTGTTCTCTTGTTGGCCTACCTGAACGAAACACTTTATTCAGGAATACTCGATGCTTTGAAATAGCGAAATCAGCTGAATACGACTGCGATGAAGTTGCATTCGGTGATTTATAGAATGTAGTTAACTTATCGCGTACACCGATAGCTCTATAAAATAAATAAATAAACAAATAAACAATTTTTTTTTGGGATTAACAATTTCAATACAATGATGAATAAGTGGGAGACAAATCAACAGAGAAATAGAGCTGATAGTCAGTTTAACCTAAATCTGCTTGTGTATTCTTCTGTATTTCATGAATTAGACGAAGAAAATCACACAGATACTTTGAAGATACTTTCAGTCATCAGTGTGGCTGAAATTAACTCTGACGACTTAAAGTGAGCTTTACTGATAAATTTTCATTATTATCGACAGGAGATTAGAATTAAGTCTGAAGTGATCATTTCATACTTCCTGAGAACTTGATTTAATCCCGTCAGGAGTGAAAAAGATAAACTTGCGATTATCTTTCAATGCAATATTTACTCGTCCACTTTACGTGGTAGACAGGGGAAAGTTTTGCAGTGCTAAGTACACCTTTGATTTAGTTATTATAATATATTATATTACTGCCTCCTTTGGTTCCTAGAGGAATATAGGGCTTCAGCCACACGTCTCCATTGCGTTCGGTTCTCCGCCAGCGTCTTCACCTGGCTCCACGTTTGCCTATATGCTTTCATCTACTCTTCACATCACCTCCTCCATGTTACCCCACCCTCACACTGACCACCAATTAAATCGCCACTTCCTATTCGGGTTCCACTCGACAGCAATGACCTGGCGTGTGATTTCACTCATTTGATGGTTTGCTTTCTCAGAGTGTGGCCAATTCACCTCCATTTCTTCCTGCATATTTTTTGCGAAATTGGTTCCTGATGGGTTGGTTTGTTCATCGCCAGAGATCCCTCCCTTTTGCTGATCTTTTCTGGCCAACCATCTGATCTTGAGCGAAGTACTGAGAGAAGACAGCTATTGATGAATGTCTGTAGTTTGTTCCAAGTTCCTTTCGGGAAGCTCCAAGTCTCTGATCCGTATAGTAGCACTTTCATTTAGTTACATTTATTAATTCCCTTCCAAGAATATATATATATAAACCTAAAGTAGTTATACAAGTGGACGTTTCCCTTCGATGGTTATATTTTCCTAATGAGGAGGATAATACCGAATTCTGATTGCATAGTTTCTGCACTGAGATTTATTCATTTTACTAACACAAATCAAATCGATTACTTACTATCACGGTGATAAACGCAATACACAATTTTTCTTCCTTCACGTTCCTCAGTGGAACATAGGGCTTCAAGCTAGTGGCTTGAAGTTTCAGTAGCAGTGCTTATTTTACAGGATGGGGTTGCTAGCCTCATGCCCAACCTTTCCTCTTCACCAGCATTATTTCTGGCTCAGAAAGGTAAAGGAATGTGTCTGTGGCCGGTGATCGAACCGCGGACCATGTGCATGGTCGGCGAGCGTCCTAACCGCGATTCCACCGACGCACACAACATACAATAAAAAAGACAAATATATATTTCATCTGAAAAGTGTTCAACTATGGAATGCTTTTCACTAAAATTCACCTACGTGCATATCATTTAGTTGCTTTCAATTGTGCAGCAGAAACGCTTCTAACATTCAGGTACCAAATGAAAATCTAGCCGTCAGTGAATTCTGACATCCGTAACTACGCTATTCACCACCAATATCAATAATTTGTTATCGGTACGTATCTGTCCTGACACCTGACTAAGAAAACCTATTGATTGCGACTTTCCTTTTCAAATCCCGAATGTACATTCGGTAGTATCGCGAATATACAGTGAATTGACAAGGAATAAGGAAACCTGAGCTTCTAAAGTTGAATATTTCATGAGATAACTTGTCCTTACAGCTGAAGAAGCTGAAACCAGGATAAAATGGCTACCGAGAAGCCTCCACCAATATACTGTATATTGTTTCTCTTATTCAGTTTGCCTAAAATTAGTACAAATGTGACCTCTAGTAGTACTGTTTACTCTGGTGAATATTTAAAATATTTACAAGCCGCTGATTCGGAAGTTCCAACTGAACGCATGAAACGGCGTTATCTTCGATGGTGGCTTATCCCAATACATGAGATGACCGTTCATGAGTGATTTCTATGGTCCACAAAATGTACACCCGAACATTTTATAATTGGCCTTAAACAAAATGTCGTGTACTCCTCGAAGGACAGGAAGAATAGTTACTATAGTCGATTCGTTTGCTCTTCAGCTCAAATTGAGCTGTCTGACACGATCTACTGTCAATTAATCTTTCACTTGAAAATCTTGGACGGAGGGAAAATATCATGCACTAAAATCGACCGAAATCACTATCAACGGGAGGGATTTGAAGGAGGTTACTTCATTCTTTTATATAGGGAACATTTTCTCAACTACAGGAGGAACGGACGAGGATTTCAAATCAAGAATCGGGAAGGCGAGAAACACATTCATCAACCTGAAACCAATCTGGAAATCTTCTTCACTCAACTCAGCATCAACAACAAAATTCGGATTTTCAATACAAACGTCAAGTCACTTCTATACGGATCAGAAACTTGGCCAGTGGGTCACAAAGAATATTCCCAACAGCTTGTTGCACACCTTTATCAACAACTAACTGTCTTCACTCTATACGGAAGATCAGATGGCCGGAAAGAACAAGAACCAAGAAGAAACTATGGGAACAAACAAAACAAGAATCAAACAGTTAGCCAACAAATATGCAGGAGAAAGTGGAGATGGATTGGACACTCGCTGAGCTGAGGAGGCCGCCGGGTGACATCGCGGGTCAGGCCATAGCTCGAGTGGAACCCGATAAGGAAGCGGCGAGTGGGTTGTCCAAGGGTGACATGGAGGAGATCGTGTGAAGAGGAGTTGAAAAAGTATGGACTAACATGGATGCAGGTGAAAAGTAGAGCAGAAGACAGAAGCAAATGGAGACGTGCAGTTGAATCCTTATGTTCCACTAGGAACCCAAGGGAACAGTAATAATAATAAACTCCACCGAAAATTCTGTACATTATACAAACATCGATCAGAATAAAGCTGTTATAATTTACTAGCGTGTCAGTTTATCCTCACAAGGTGGGATTAACATCAGTTATGTTTCAGCAGTTTTTTTTTTTGAACATGTTTAGAATTTTTCAAAAATACATAATCTGGGAAAACACGAAAAATCTGGTATTTGTTTTTTGTCTGTAGAGTTTAAGTGAATGCTAACACATAACATTCTTGTATGGATAAAATATGAAAAAAAATAACATAAATTGAGGTGGAATTATTCTTTCCTCTCACATCACTAAAATAAAAAAAATAGGTATATACATATTAACAGACAACAATCATCTACCCCGACGCACTTTCACTTTGGGGATTAAAAACCAGTAGGGTGTCAATTACGGCAATTGACTAATTAAGCCAGAACACCCAATTTCTAATATAACGTATTAATTACAACAGCTTTCATGGTGTTAATTTTCTGAAAAATGCTCCAAAACAAATACGAAATTCTTCAGATTGATTATTACTATTATTATCGTTTCCTTTAATTCCTAGAGGAACATAGGGCTTCAGCCGTGCGTCTCCACTGCGTTCGGTTCTCTGCTAGAGTCTTCACCTGGCTCCAAGTCTGCTCACACGTTTTCATCCCCCCTTCACATCACCTCCTCCAAGTCACACACCCTCGCACTGACGACCAACGCGCCGCTTCCCTTTCGGGTTCCACTCGAGCAATGGCTTGTCTAGTGATGTCACTTGATGGTTTCCTCAGAGTATGGCCAACCCATCTCCATTTCTTCCTCCATATATGTTGCACAATTGGTTCCTGGTTGATTCGCTCTCAGAGACTTCTGTTGCTGACCTTTTCTGGCCGGCCATCTGATCTTGAGCGAAGTAATGAGCGAAGAAAGCTGTTAATGAAGGTCTGTAGTTTGTTTGAGATGCTCTTCATGACGCGCCAAGTCTCTGATCCGTATATTAGCACTGACTGACTTCACATTGGAGTTGGAAATCCGGATCTTATTTTTGATGCTCAGTAGTGCTGTTGACCTCCGTACAGACTTGAGAGTAGTGAAAGCTTGTCTTGCTTTCCTGATTCTTGTTTTGATATCCTCGTCAGTTCCTTACGCCTGTAGTTAAAACGGTGCTTCCCAGGTAGGTGGGTAAAGGAGGTTGTTTCTTTCAGGTTGTTCCCACTTATGCTGATCGTTGTCTGTTGTTGTTGTTCTTGTCTAGGAATCTTCATCACCTCTGTTCTCTCTATGTTCACCTGAAGTCCGGTCTTCTCTGGATGCTTCTTCTGCCAACTTATTGCATTTCGCTTGCATATCAGATTGATAGCCTTCAAGAAATGATTTGTTTCTCGAGTTAGCCCATAGATTGACATGTGTTAGAGAGCCATTGAAAACCATGCAGTGAGTACTCGACAGCTGTTTCGTACTCATTTAGAAAAATCAAAGACAGAACGCATCCCATAGGCACCGAACCCAGGACCTTCTGTTTACAAGGCAATCTCGTAGACTATTCACCTAATGGAACCCTATTCATTGTCTAATGAATTCTAACTTCTACAAATTCGTGATTTCACCGCAACCAGCAACTAATGTAATCCGTGGGAAAATCATCGTCTCACCCAACTAGATAGACCTCAATGGTCACGATTTCTCACTGGAACTCCTGACAACTTCACCCTGTAGCCAGTCACTAGTGAGGATCAGATTAATTTTCAAGATTTGATCTATTAGCATTTGTTTTATTTTGCGAGTTAAATCACGAACTCGACTTGTGATTAGAAGGTCTTGGGTTCGAAACCCCGTGGTGGGTGTGTACTATCGATGAGTCCCAGGTACTAGGATAAAACAGCTGTCTCTATAACTGTTATCGATCGTTGGTCTAAATCGAAAATGCGTAGTTGTTTTCGTTGTTCTTTGACCTACATTACACATTTAATTTTACTCTTAAATGTGTTACTTTTATATATATTATTGGTAGTGATTTAATGAAAAGTACAGAAAATCCTGTCTAGAGTTTGTTGTTGCCTTCGTTTAACAAATGATTAGCATAAAAAAAGCTGAACTTGACCTATA